TATTTGACATATTTGTAATGCAACGACACTCAGGCACGTGCATTAATGTACACCGGCGGGGGGGGGGGGGGGGGAGCGGTGGATTAAAGACAAAAAAATTAAATTCAACTAAAGTAACACTATATTTTTATTATTCATGTAATAAAGAAACTGTCGTGTGACAAAATTTGAATGCCAACACTTAAATATCCTTAATTCAAGTAAAGGCGCATGATTTTTCATACTATACTTTTAATTATCCAGCTTTGTATTTGCTTAATATGACTATTAAATATTTTATAACATCAACAAATCAACAATACAACAATATAATATAATAAAAAACTTATATTAACGCTTGAGCCTAAGATCTTGGTGATATTTTACATAAATATGTTTAATAAAAGAACCATGATTAATAGTAATTGCTTAATATAGTTGTATAAAGTAAATTATCTATAATATAGTAATAAATTAATGCTTATTATTTACTTCTTAATATGTAACAGCACATAGTATCAATATTATAAATATGTTGTTGTTGGTTTTTTTTTTTTTTTTTTTTTTTTTTTTTTTTTTTTATCAATTTGGTAAAGCAATTATAATGAAACGAAAAAACTCGAGTCGTTTATGAATTCGAATAAATAATCAAATTAACAAACATTATTATAATTTGATAAATATTCAATTCAAAATCTACTTTGTTATTGTTAACATTAAGTAATTTACAAATCCGCTTAGAAAAATTTATGTAAAAAAATATTATTAAATGTCAATATATTATTAATAATATACGTTATTTGTTTTTTAAATATTTAAGTATGAAATATTTTTTACCGAAACCATGCGCGGTAATAAAAAGAAGTCGTTGAGAATATCGTAAATAATAATGGAATGTTAAGAGAAAAATAATTATTTTCATTGTATTTTATTTATTTACTAGAAATTCCAAAATTGTTGATGATCGATAAATGTTTTAAGCTCAACTCTGGATTATATAATCATAGTAAATTTTCAGTGAAATTAGTTGCATCTAAGGTTATTTACATAAAATACATAATTAACTTTAATTTAATAAATAATCAACAATGAGCAGTGAATTTTTATTGAGATAAATGCAGTGTATTAGTGACGTAATAAATAATACAAAGGTATCGATATATTTACGTGATTATATCACATTAATTACAAGTATGAAAAACACTTGGATTAAAATTTTCGTCATATTTTGAATAATGTCTTAAAGACGTAATCGAAAAACTTTTTTTCTTTTTTTCTTTTATTAAATAATTTAAATAAATTATTTTAAATTTTTGTTTTGTTTTGAATTTCACATAATTAATTAAAGCTAATACATTAATACCTACTTAATGAAAATGTGTTAACCTATTTAAATACGTATTTAAAGAATATATAAATTAATTTTATTACTCTAGAAAATATCTTCATTCCGATTTTAATTTGGACGTATGGTATTTTAGAAGAAATATAGGACATTACTATATAAATTGCCATTATTCTCAAATATTATAATAGATTATCATTAAAGTATCATTAAGTATAAATAAGATTTTGAACATAAAGCTGAAAATTGTTTTATTATTTTTATTAGTTTAATTATCAATATATTATTGTAAAACAACAAATTGACAAGGAATTAAAAATGATTGCATAAATGAAATACAACTTTTTACTTTGGTAGATAAAATTAATAATTTTATCGATTATTAAAATTATATTTATATATAAAATAAATGCAAATGATTCAAATAACGCAATAGAATTTTTATTTTTGAATTATTAATATTCTACGTACATTACTAAGATACAATATAATATTGTATCTCCGTCACTACATATATCACTTCTGTTTTAGTCATTTTCAATTTCAAACCACAAAACACCATAATAATTTTATAGCTTTAATAAACATTTTAATTCTAATAATATAATAATATAGCTTTTTGGTAATGATGAAAAATTTATCTTTCGCATTTTATTCTTTTTAATAAATATGAAGAAATCAATGGATAAAAGACCAGTTAGATTGAAATACTTAAAATATGTTTTAACCACTTTGCTTATACTTTTTTTTTTATCTAAATTCATAAAAAGTTTTGCAATCGACTGAAGAACATTGAAATTATCGCAATAGCAACGCACAATGTATAATGATAAATTTTAAAGGAATAATTAAGTGAAAGGGTGTGTCTTAAAATGGTTGTTTTAAACTTGAAATCGAATATCAATGAAATTATAAGAAATACACTTTGATTGCTGTATTTTCTAAAATATTTGGCTTTAATAGTTTATATTGCGCACTCTCGAAGCACAAAGACAAGTACCTAATTCTCCATCTTCCTTTATTTTCTATTCTCTGATCCTTTTCAATGCCTGCAGTGCTTTCGTCTCGCTGAATTTTATTTCTTTTGATTTTAAAATATCTTTCCATTTAAAATACCATTTAAGCAACGAAGTCTAATATTTGAGCAGCGTTACTTACAAAGCGTGAACAATGTAAAACAAAAAGAGTGGGAGTGTTTCGATGAGAATGCAAAAAATTTAAATGCACAAGTTGAAGTGGTGCATAAATGGATTTAGTCGAGCGCAATATACTATAACTATTTTTATTATTTATAAAAATGTATCTGCAAGGTATTACAATATGATGTTAATAAAAAACAAGTATAATTCAACAAATAGAAAAATGGTTTTACTATTGCTTATATATAAGACTAAAAATGCAATTTTCTACATATATATATATATATATATATATATATATATATATATATATATATACATACATACATACACGACTAGAAATGTAATTTTCTGTATTCGAATACGACGAAAATTTCACGATGTAAAAAGACAATTTTATAGATATCAATAAGAATTTCGAGTAAAAATCAAATTTCAACGTATTTATAAAATAAAATATTGCAGATCACAGCTGACATAATCGAGGAAACAAACTAATAGCGATTATTATGATTAAAATTTACAAATAATTATTGGATTATTAATTACCACGGAAATATATACATATACGTTGAAAACTGATTACGCGTCCTCAATATGATATTATCGAAATTAAAAAATTTATGTAATTGATGTAGAATTAAATAATCATGTTAAAAGTAATTATTAAGATACGTCGATACTTTGTTTTAGCTTAGAGATTTTCGACTAATACAATTGAATAATTGTCTACGCGCTATCAAAAAAAAAAAAAAAAAAAAAAAAAAAAAAAAAAAAAAAAAAAAAAAAAATTACCATAAACTATTCGTATATAATTTGAAATTTGTATAATTTACACTCTGCAACATTTGCAGCATTGTGCTTTTTTTTCTCACTCAACGATCAAAGAAATTCATTATCTTGACAAGCAGCCATGTTCTTTGACATGTAAATTTTCCCAAAAGATAATACATAATTTTAAGCTTACATGGAGTTTAAATCGTAAGGGAAATATAAAATATCGTTTGGAAACGTGTCGAGTTCGCATGTCAGTTGCATTAAAGATAAAATTATGCGAAATCTTATCTGACCGAGCCTGACATTGTTACACCGAGGTAAAGCAACTTATTACAATAATGATATACAATTCATTAACAAAATTATCAGCCAGTCTATTTAGCGCTCATTGTTTAACGAAATTTTATATTTTCGATGAAAAGCGTAACGTATCCCGGTGCATATTGCTTACAACCGCTTCTTATAAACGAGTTTATTATTTTTTAACGGCTTATAGTACATTGATCGTTAATCTCACATCGCCCTTTATCGATCATTGGATATTACAATAAACGAACAATAAACGTTTGAATTATTTTGTTTTCCATATTGTGTAATAATTCGAGAATTAGAGTTTGATGGGGTTAATACTGTATTTTCAATTAACAGCGACTGATAGCCGAAGCTTTGTGAATAACAATATTCATTAGTTTTAAGGATGGCGAGTAGTCGATATCGAATGACGTCCTATCATCAAAGTTGCCATTAGTCATTGGCTAATAGCTTATTGTTGAAATAATCGTGAAACAGGATTTGACCAATCATTCCCTACTCCAAAATACTCGGCGTGAAATATGTGGCAGCGTATTTAATGTCCGCGCCAAGTCGTCGTAGTTACCTCGACAAATTCTCTCAAATACTCGGCATAGCCACTCCAAGACTATTTGCCGGAATATTCATGGGCTCGAAGGGGTGGCGAATCGAGCCAAAGTTACGAAACTTTAAGGGATGATCTAATATCCGCAGTGGCTGCGAATGAAGCGAGCAACGCTTCGGGTTGCACGCAAAACCAGAAAGCCTGAAAAGATAAAGAAAACAAAACGGAAAAATGAGAGAGACGAGAAAAAGAAGGAAAACAAATATGCAAAAGCGCGTTGACGCGTTAAGAAGGGGGTGGGGTTGGGCGGTAGTCGGAGATTAGTTGTAAATACGCGAAGGAAATAAAAGGTAAGTTGGCGCCTGTTGGAGGAAGCAACAATTTGCCTCGTTGCCTCGGCGCAGGGAAATGCAGGCTAATATCGGGAAAAGTGCAACGGGCGAGGTAGTGCAACGGAATGAGATGGCGAGTGGGAGTAGTGGATAGATGGGGTTGGGGGAGGGGGGAGGGGGGTTAGGAACGGATTCAGTGATGGGGATGATTGGGGGAACGGGAACGAGGTGGCGTCGATGAGTAGGTGGTATAGTTGGTAGGGTTGGGCTATCGGGGTTTGGAGGAGGAGGAGGAGGAGGAAGCGACGACGTCGGCGGCAACGGCGTCCGCGAAAGAGAGATCGAGAGAGAGAGAGAGAGAGAGAGAGAGAGAGAGAGCGGGGCATGGTCTCAGGAAGGTGGTGGTAAAAGTGCGCGTGGAAGTGGCGCCGGAGGAGAGTCCGGGGTACCGGAGGCCGAGCGGCCGAGCTGCCGAGCAGCCGAGCGCTCGAGCAGGAGAGCGAGAGGGCGCGAGGCTCGAGGCATCGATCGTCGGCCGAGGAAGAGAGGGTCCAGGGGTCCCGCCGAAGCTCTCGCAGGTGGTAGTGACTTTAGGGCGCATGCACGGGGCTGGGGGTCGCGGGGCCGCGGCGGGGCGCGAGGACGAGTCGGCGGCAGAGTTGCGGAGCGCGTCGGTCGAGCTGGAGGTGCTGAGTTTCTCGCCGAGGGCCTCGCTGCTCTGAGTGCGCGCCCCTCCGCGGCCTCCCGTCGGAGATGAGCGTCGCACGGCGCTCGGTCGTCGGGGGACCCCGGGCCGCCCTGGCACTTGGCCTCGCCCTCGTGGCCCTACTCGGGCTACCGCGGGCTGCCCTGGCGATCGACCTGGCCAGGCTGTACGGTCACGTGCCCGTCAAGCGCACCGGTGAGTCTCGCGCGCTGCCGATTTTCCTTTATTAATTTATTGGCTTCGTTGATCGAGCCGGTTGACTCGCTTGGCCTGCTTGTCTCGCTTTACCTCCGGCCCAGCTGCTGGGCCCTGCTGTAAGCGCTCACAAACCTGCCTCGCGACTCAACGGCTCTTCCCCGTATAAACGCGCTTTCCGTCACCCCTTTGTCTCCTCTTCGTGTCTGTCGCTTTTAGCAAAACTCCACTTCCAATCCCCCGACTCTTAATCCAACTACTCGAGCTACGCGTCTCCCTCTCGGCTCGTCTCGATGACTTTACAAACTATCGGAGCTGGACCAGTGCAAACACTCGTGGCCAATTCCAACTGTCAATGGAGTTGGCATTTTTGTCCGCCCGAAACTCCATTATCCTCGCGCTAACTCGACGTATCATATACTCGCCGCGTTACTTCTACCTAATCAAGTGCTCGCTTTTCTTTTCCCTTATTCTTTTCTCTCGACACGACATTATGTATTTTATCTTTGTAGTTGACAACGAAGCTTATTTTTTATTGATAAACCATTGCGTCGTTTGAATTAAGCGTTAAGATAATTGCAAGGATGAAAGAAAGGAATTTTTACCGCCCGGAACATGATGCAAATAATAATTTAATTACGAACGCGTGAGCTTTTTTCGACTTGAATGTGCCGAGAGTAGTGTTAAAATTTATTAAAAAATCTTACCTCGCTATTATTATATTATCACTTAATATATAAATAAATAAATATTGCATATTCTTTTATCTGTAATATTAAATATCAGATTCCTGTTAAATTTACTACTTATTATATTATTTGATGCATAATGTACATTGATAATCCTTAAATTTGCAAATTATTTTGTGCTATCTCTCTCTCTCTCTCTCTCTCTCTCTCTCTGTCTGTCTGCCTTTCCTTCCATTTTTATAATGAATACAACCTTACAAAAAAATTTCAAATATTCCAACATGCAGTATTAATATGATATAATTATTAACGGTTGAGAAAATTATCTTCCTACATTTATTTTGAAATATGGAATGCAAATCTATTTGTTCACATGCGATACAAGTTTTACTATTAAAAGAGAAATGTTATAAGCAAAAAAAATCTTTATTTAAAATAACAACATAATGTAAAGCAATATTGCCAAGTTCCTTTGTATTTGTTATAAAAGTATTTGGCCGTAAAATAATTTTTTTTATCGAAATGAAATTTTGATTAATGTAAAGGATTCCTCTTAAAATTAAAAGAATTATATAATTAAAAAGTTCAGAAAATGTTGACGTGTTTACATACAAAGTACATTGAAAAGTAATTTATTACACTGTCATTGATGAAAATAAGCTGAACCTTTAAGCGAAAATGAATGAATTAATAAAAGGCTTTACTGGGCTAAATAGTTTGGAATTTCCAAAATTTTCATTACAACAATTTTAATAATAACAAAAAATGTAAAGAAGAAAAAAAAATAAATCAGAAGAGAAAAAATTTAATCATTTACGATCGTCTTGTAGGTATGTGTAAATAAAAATCTCCTATGCCATTATGAAACTAAAGGGATATTTTATGTTGAAATTGTAATTTTCCAGTGAACATGTATTCTGTAATACTAAATTTTAAATATTTATAACTAAAATTACCATTTTTTGTTCAGAAAATTTTGGAAACTTACGAAACTATTATTATAAAACTCATTTGTTAATGAAAATATGAACATAATTTAAATATGAGGATATTAATTTTTAAAAAAATTTTAAATAATTAACATGCTTTTGTTTTTATTTAATACGTTTTGCAAGATAATTGGCAAACTATTTTATCCTCTTATAAAACCATTAATTAGTATTTAATTAATAAATTTTAAGTTATTTTAAAATTTGATAAAATTTAAATACTTTATTGTTTTAATTTGGAATAAAAATAAGATTTATAGTTAAAATATTATTTTATTTAAAAATTAAATTACTTTTGATCGTTCTTAATCTTTTAGATATACATTCTTTTCCTTTCCCGACTCGCATACATAAATTTTTATTTTATAGCTGTTAAAAGTTTCATCATTAAACATAATAAAGATTAATAATAATAATAATAATAATAATAATAAGTCTAATTGAATAGAATAATATTCACAAATGATTACTATTTATTACAAATAGAAACAAAATGTTTGGATATTGTGAAACTTTGCGTATTTAAAGTTTCTATTCAAATCTGTAAAATTTTTTAAAATTACGTATGATAAGATAGTTCAATCCACATTTATTTTCATGGCCTATTTTTATATTATTATCTTTAATTTACAAAAATTAATTTCGAATTTTTTAATTTATTATTAAAAAAGACATATTTAAAATGTGTGGATATTTTTAATTTAATTTTCTAATTTTTTTTTTTTTTAATAAAGAAAATCTTCATCTAATATATTACCACAAATTTAATAAAACGAACTTAAGAAATTAAACAATAGACAAGAGGGCAATGCTTCGGAAAAAAAAAGTGAATAATATTTTTGAAATTTAATTTATGGAATATTTAAAGTGGAGCTTATATTTCCAATATTTCATCTACAAGACATTCATATTTGAAAGTTCATGAAAGATCTTGACAATAACAATCAAATTTATGAGACATCAGTTTTTTATTATAAATATTTTCATATTAAACCGATTCATTATCAAAATTTATTAAATAACATTTCAGTATTGCAAATAATTGTTCAATAATCTTATATTTTACGTTAATTAATCCAGATATTGAAAAAAAACATTAAAATTGAATATTAATATAAGAAAAAAAGATTTGTTACAAGTAGATAGTAAATAAATATTAAAGAATTTTTAAATAAAGTCGATAGAGATGCAAATAATGAAGTATTCCTTTTTTCTCCGGTATTATTTTTTTTCAAACTTAGTTTTTTAATTAATGTTCGATCGCACCACCAAGGTAAATCAATTGGATTTCCTTAGCTAATTAACGAACTTTTGAGACATATTTAAACAATTATAACATTGCATAACTTATGTTTCAATAAGGGAATAATTTCGCGAATAGAAGTATTTATTTTAATTTAATGTTTCTCGATGTTTTTAAAATTTAGTAGAATTGGAAATTATAAAATATTTCGATTCCTTCTGATAAATAATCTTCATTATTTCGTAAACTGTATTAATAAATTTAAGTAAAAAATACAAATAAATAAGTAATTATAAAAAAGAAATGGTCTAAATTATCGTAATATTTCTACGTAATTATTATTAATTTAATTAAATGGCCAGTATTTAAGAATAATTATAGTAAGTACAACGTTGAATGCTTCAATAGTTGTGATTTCTGCAATACGCTACATCCGATATTTCCCGTAAATTCGCTTGATTGTTTGAAATTTTCAAATTTATTGTTCTTCAATTACTGACAAATGATTATATTTATAAAATATACTGCATAATGCAAAAATTGCATATAAAATGGATGTATTGCTTGGTGAAATTGACAGTGCTAAAGAGTTATTTTAATGAGTTTGCTTGAAGTTTATCTGTAAGCGAAAATATACAAGGATTACCATGATAAAATAAAACTAAAAATTATATTAATGAAAAGTCACGCAGCGTAAGAGAATATCAGAGATGGACATGAATGTGAAGTGATATATCTGTCGTGCTACGCCTTGTTTTCTTACCTTAATTGTTCATTAACTTCCTTCACTGCCTTTCAGAGAAGCAATTTTATGAAAAATATTCTCTGCATAAATTATTATATGCTAAGCTTATCCTTATACTACTTAATTTATGTATTGATTCGAAGCACAATATTACTGCTCAGTGTACATTATGAATTTTGGAAGTTCCTTTTTTTCTTCTTTTGTAGAGTAACTTTAGTGTCGAACACATAATTTAGACTTTGAGTAGCTAATAGTATAGCCAATACAATGTCACTTTATCATACTTAACTAACAAATGAATCAATTTAATAGTTAAATAAAATTTTATGGATCATCGCTATAATCTTCTTTCCCGCCTAACTATTAGTTCCAATAAAATAAACATTTGCAAATTTGCAAATATTATTAATAAATGAATTTTTTGGTTACAAAATTCTTGCTTATAAAATGTATTATTTCATTTTATCCTCCTCATAATAACTGCTTGAGTTTTATTGAGTTCTTCGTTTACCACTTAAGCTGTCATTCGAAAAATTTGTGAATTTCAAAAGATTAATGGAGTAATTTTAGATTGTGTGAAATTATTTCGATAAAATTTATGAGAATTTAATGAAACCTATGGCGCTTCTTATTGATTAAACTAACCTAGTAAATATAAAAACTCTTATTCTACATTACCTACTTCAACTGTAAAGTTACGTTTCTTATTAATTAAAACATTAATTTAAAAATACTTGACATATCTTAATAAAAATAAAGGTAAATCTTAATGATTTATTATATTTATTATATCGGGAAAAACTACTTTTATTGTGTCGTAGTTTAAAGTAACGTCAAACAGTATATTTTATATCATCGATTGACAAATACAATTTTATTTTACAATTACATAGAATATTGTTATTCGAATGAGAGTTCAATATTAATAATAACATAGACGATATTAAAAATTAAGTATACACACAATTTTATCAAAATTTGAATTGTAAATGTTAAAATAAATTTTAAATCAAATAATACGAAATAAGAGGCAATTTTCTAAATTATACTTATTAAATATATTATCATTATTATTATTATTGTTGTTGTTGTTGTTGTTGTTGTTTTTGTTTTTGTTTTTGTCGTCGTTGTTGTTGTTATTGTTATTGTTATTGTTATTGTTATTGTTATTGTTATTGTTATTGTTATTGTTATTGTTATTGTTATTGTTATTGTTATTGTTATTGTTATTGTTATTGTTATTGTTATTGTTATTGTTATTGTTATTGTTATTGTTATTATTATTATTATTATTATTATTATTATTATTATTATTATTATTATTATTAAGATTA